CTACTTCTATATTTTACATACATTTCAATAAAAATGTATGGTTCAGTAACCATTATGTTCTATATTCATATTTTAAAAAATTTATTTCAAATTTGTAACTATTATAATATTTATATATTATTATATGGATCTATATCTTATAATAATAAATCATTAAACTCATTTATATAGAAGATACTTAAATCATTTTAATGGATTAATTTATAGATAAAATTTAATTTAATAAATATGAATCGAAAATCATTTAAAGTTTATCTATAGAGTTTGAAAAGTAGAAATAAGTTATAAACTAGGCATCAACTTCATTTGATGATTTAACAAATTTACAGAAAGACTATATTGGATTAAAAACTTATACAAACGTATTAATTTAACATGAAAAATCTCAACCAAACTATAATATTCCAAAGTAGAACAAAAAACTTTGCTTATTTTATTAAAGTTACTTTCGCACATTGAGCTTTACAATAAGGGTAAAAAAAAAAAAGAATCAAATTTCATCATTTACCAAATTTCACACAAAAACATTTCAGTTGAAAAGAAAAATCATTATGACAGGGCTCATTGGCAGCTGTCGACGTGGCAGCTTTAAGAAGCAACTGGTGCGACTCTCTGCTCTTTTTTCACCTTTTTTGTTTTGTGAAACAAAACAAATTTTGTCTGGTTTTTCGACAAGGACCCACGTCATTTAATGAATTCGGCCAAAACACGCGCCATGGCCGGCCCATTGTTATTATGTCGAGCAGGGACGTCCGCTGGGCGGGCTAATCAAGTGCACTGCCTTGGCAGGAGCGAGAAACATGACACGAGTTTATTTACAGTTCGTTCCAGCTGTTACCAGGCAGGCAGTCCAACAATTCGTCAGTCAGTCGAAATATTTGGAGTATTAGCCCTCATGCCATTGACTGACGCTTAGATACCTATTCAGCTGTTGCTGATAATTCAAACGTGGCTTAAAAATAATAGTAACAATACTTCAATGACGTTTACTTAGCAGGCTATAAGTACAATTAGTCAAAATATAATGAGTCCCTGAGTAGCTAAAGAGATGGCGAAACGATTTAGCGCTCCATTAGCTAAAACACAAATTTAGATTTTCGATTGCATGCAGAAATGTGAAACATGTATAAACGCAGGAAACTCATCTCCTGCTCAATGAGTAAACTTTTTGTGGGTGGCACTATTTGGATAAAGTTTTTTAATTACAGCTCAAAGTTTTACGAAGCGAAGATTAAATACTCAAGCACACTTAAGGCATAATAAATTATAATAGTAATTGGAATTTTTTTTTGGTTTTGTTCAGGAAAAATGTTGAACTTTGAAAATAGATTTATGATGAATTAAATTGACTTAAAAAAGTGTACAGACATTGTCTAGTCGAATGCTACAGGTCGATAGTCTATGGTGGGCGGAATACTGTGAGACTCATTGCTTGCAAATAATGCGAGTGATCGAATTTATTCTAAGACTTGTCAAAAACCAAATAATTCGTTTAATTGTGAGTCAGGAATGCTGGCAAAGGTTTTTTTGAAAAAACATTTCAATGTCTTACAATTTTGTTTTAAAAATGCTTTTAATAAGTTAATGGCTTTTTTAAATGAGACATTTACGGGAGCAAAGTATATAAACATATATGATCGATTTAATTTCTGCTTAGATCTAAAATATTCTTTAATATATATTAGCTTTGCCAAAGTCTTTAATATTTAAAGAATATTTACATATATAGATCATATGGTCTCTGCTTGTATCTGCCCTTATTTATAAAATGTCTCATTTTCATAATGTTACCATAAAATATAATATTCATTTTATGTCATAATCGTAATATATGTCATAATATAAAATATTATAATTTATAATATAAATATGTCTATATACATATAAAAATTACGTTGATAGATTTTTAATTCAAATTTACTAATTTGTTTACTTTTTATATTATAAATAATTATATATTTGTATCACTTTTTTTCCTAATATTTATGTAATATTTATATACTCTACATTAATATTTTTTAATTTACTTTCTTTTTCACTTGAACTCACCTGCATATATAGCCTCTATAATGATATCCTCCAGGTGACGTACATTGTCGATCTCCAGTTCATTTAGCAAGATGGCATATGGAATGCTCTTGGATTTAATGGCCAGAGAGACGATAGTCAGGTGCTGCAGCTTCTTCTGCATGGCCGGTGTCAGCTCTATGTAGTCCTGTTGCTGAGCTCGGAACTGTTTGTAGGTGCCGTAGGCGAACAGATTTAGGGTGTTGTAGTACTTGGCGTGGGGTCCATCTTTAAGCTACAATTAGTTGCAAATATTAACTGCAAATGCGACGAGTATTAACCATTAAATACCTCAGCTACATTCGGCTCCGCTAGCAGCTCACCAAATACAAAGACATTCGGGGCGTCCAGCACTTGCTTTATGACGTCCAGCAGAGCGGCGCCGGTGGCGTTCTTTGCCTGCAGGCAGAACTGCTGCAAGATTGTTTCCTTGTTGTTGCTGGGCTCCTCATTGTCGAGCAGCATATCTTGTGCCATTTTCAAGTTGGCTTGGTTTTCTTTGCAATTTAGTTTTTATTATTTCAGCTACTCGGCTAATGCTTGTTCGACTTAATTGTGTATCGATAATGACAACAGCACACGAAATACACATCAGACTATCGATATTCGTGCGTAAGCACACAGTGTAAAACAGCTGATTGCTGCTCACGCGCAAAAGCTGGCTGCTACAGCAGTTGTAGCACTTGCGCGCGTATTAAAAGATTTAAATTTAATAATGAGAATCAAGACTTTGTTCTTATTCTATAGTAAAAATAAACTATTATCTGTCAATTTTATTAATATAATAATAATTTCAATAAAAAGCAAATATATTTATATAGTATACAAGTAAATTTAAATAAAACATGTAAGCGTAATTGAAAATATAATCCGCTCTTAAACGAAAGTATTTACTGGGGGTGTAGTAATAGTAGGCTATAAGGTATATTATACCCCCATGGCACAGTTCACACTATTACTTAATGCACACGGTCCCAATTTGGTTACTTAATATTCGCATTCACTTTTTTTTCTTTTTTTTTTTTTGCTTTCGGCCGAATCACTCGTTTATTGTTTTAAGACCTTTTAATCCAATATTGTTTGCCTTTCAAAACACTTTTCACGCTTGCACATCCATTTGCTCATCTGACACACACGCACACATAAAAGGGCCTCATGTCCTTGGGGAGCGGTTGTTAAAATGCCGGTAGCCACATAAACTTTTCGTCTCCAACCACCTCTACACTCTCTCCCACTCCTTTCTCCATTGGCCACACTTATTATTATGTATTTGCCGAGTCTGCAGAAAAAAAAGCGAAATATATATATGAACAAATATATGTATATAAAAAAAGGTGCAGGCCAAAGTTGGAAACCCTTTATTATGTGGCGCCGTCTGTGTAGGATTTTGGCCAGGAGTGGAGCGAGTCCTTGGGGGATTCGCTCGCTCATCGATTATGAAAAGTTAAAAGAGTCGAATATAAAAGGTCAAAGGCCTTGGGACACACAAAATATTGGACCCATCGAAGCACACATCGGCTTTAAGGCCGCAAAGAAAGGATCTCATCAAGGAATTCATGCATTAAATATATACATGTACATATATAAACATATATATGTATGTGCTGTTCGCTATTCGCTTGCCTTGTGGCATGCCTTCCGTAAATGCAACATGCAACTATTTTATTGTTAAGCTATGCAAATCAGATTGTCAGCTGCTCGACATCAGTGTTGCCTGTTTGGCATATTTCAAGCTATATTTAGCCTTTTTGAAAGTGATCTAGCCTATTGATATGGGATAGAATACCCAGAAATTAAGGCAGACTAGGCAGAAGACCTAGTTCTTAGGAGAACTATAGAGCAAAAGAAACTACTGTCTATGCTATATAATAATTATGAGTAATATACATTTACATGCGTAATTTAGCATATCAACTTTCAGCCTTAACAATTATATATAGTCCGATTTAATTATATGGATTTGATTGCCTATATATCTGGTCGTATATCTGTCTGTATATCTGTCTCTGTCTGTCTGTCTGCCTAACAAAAGCCAGGCACGAAGAATAGCTTCATAAGATCATTTATGTATATGTATGCAGCGGTAAGTAAAAGGAAGCTAGAGCTCTTGCAGCAGCAGCGAGTGCTCCCATTGGTCACTTAGATCTGGACTTCGACGACCTCTA